CCCGCAGGGCTGTGGAGCGTGCCGGGGCAAGTGCCGGCCCTGCCCGCTGCACGTGGCCACAGGCAGAGGCCTGGAGACGCGGCCCTGCTGCGCCCAGCACTCAGCCTGCTCCCGGCCCTGCCATGGCCTGCTCTTTGCCGAGGCCGATCGGGAGGACTTGCTGAGCCTCCTGTGCTATGAGGGGGGGCTGCCGGAGGCCAGCACCGAGACACCCCTGGCCCACTCTGATGTCCTGGCTGGGACTAACCTGGAGATGCTGCAGGCTCAAGAGGAACCAGCCGCTCTGGAGGCACCTGAAGTGCTGGGGAGGCCAAAGAGCTCAGAGGAAGGACGTTCTGGTGGCTGGTGTTATGGAGAGGAGCTCTGCGAGGTCAACTCCACCTGCGTGGACAATCAGGACAGCTCCCCAGAACTGGCGTGGGTGGCCCTGTCCTCTGCTCCTGCCCAGGAGGCAGAGCAGCTGCCCCAAGGCAGCGTGGCTGTGAGTGCATTGCGTGCAGGCCGTAGTGGGGTGGCAGCGAGCTGGGAAGTGCCCCTTGGCTCCGCTCCCTTGTGGGGCATTGAGTGGGACAGAGGGCAGTGAGGGTTGTCTTTTCGGGTCTTACAGGGCCTTGCACTGCTGGAGGTGCCCAGAGAAGACCCTCAGTACTGGCTACAGGCTCTTGCTGCCCAGAGTGTGGGGGAGATGCTTGCGTGCCCATCTGATCTGTGCATGCTTTGGGGAACAGGCCAGTGGGTCTGAACAGGCTGCACAGCCCCTGGACCCTCAGCCTTCGTTCTCCTGGTGCTCTGGGTTCCCCTCTGTCCCTGGGTGGCTCTGGAGTCTGGTCCCTGCAGTGCCAAGCCTTGGCACCGTCACCCAAACAGCCTGGCTGGAGGCTATAAATGCCCAGGCTCCTATCCAGACTCTCACCCACCCTCTTGTTGCTTTGCAGAATAAGGAATCCTGCTCCTCCTATCCAGCCTTCAAAGAGGGTGAGTTCTTCTTTGCTTGAATAGCAGAAGATCCCAGGAGTTTTGGTGCACTGACCCCGGCTCTGACCGTTAGTCTGGGGGTGGCTGGTGTTCCAGGATCCCGGCCGGCAAGGGAGCACCCAGCTCTGCAGCCAGGCTGGAAAAGGGGCTCTTCTAGAGACAGAGGGGTTATTGCCATGTGGGGCAGGATGGGGCTACCAGCTCCAGATGACTGGTTCAATCCCCACTCCCCCTTTACCAGCTGTACAGTGGGGGCTCCAGGGATGCCCAAAGGGGATCCCAGGCTTGGGAAAGGGAGCAGGAGGGAAGTCAGGGTGTGCCTCAGGCTTGGCAAAGGAGGAGGCAGCCCTGGGATCAGTGTTGGTCCCCTGGTGATGCAATGAGCCTGTCTCCCAAATGTAGAGCTCTTTTGCTGTGTGTAGGGACACAGTCAACGGGCAGTAGGAGCTGGTACCCCAGTCCTTGCAGATGGGGGAGGGTGTTTTCCACTGCTTAATGGATGTATCAGTTCCAGGCCCCTGCGACCCAGAGGATCTGCTGGACGGTGTGATTTTTGGGGCAAAGTACCTGGGCTCCACGCAGCTTGTCTCGGAGAGAAACCCCCCCACCAGTGTCCGCATGGCACAGGCCCAAGAGGCTGTGGACAGGATCAAGGTGAGGAGAGTAGCAGGGGCACAGTCGCTACCAGCCTGGCACAGCCTGGCCCCTCATGGGCATTGGGCAGCATTCAGGCCTGGGGTCTGCAGGGAGAGCACTTCCCAGCTCTCTGCAGAACTGGGGCAGGAGCCCAGGAGTCCTGGCAGCAGCAGTAACCCTGCCTGGACACCTCACCCTACAGGCACCAGAGGGGGAGTCCCAGCCAATGACAGAAGTGGACTTGTTTGTCTCCACGCAGAGGATCAAGGTGCTCACAGCTGACACGCAGGTGAGTGGGAACAAGGGTACCCACATTGCTTTGGGGCTGCTGAAACCTTTCTCTTGACCTTGGAATCTTATCTTTGTGCCCACGTGTGCCTACACAGGGGGGGGTCGTGCCCAGGGTTGGCCTGTGGGCAAGGGCAGGCAGCCAGGAAGAGATGTGTCACTCTCCAGCCATTCCCCGTGGACGTGTTGTGCATCCCTTGGCTGTCTTTACATGGCTGCACAGGGCTTTTCATTCAAACTGCACAGCTGGGCTCTAAGGCTGAGTTCGGGGAGTTAGTCTCGAAATTTCTGCAGCAGTTTGCCTCAGGGTTAGTTTCTTCTTTATAGTAAGAAGCAAAGGCTGTCTTGTCCCCTGGCAGCATGCAGAGATGCAAATGAGCCATCAACTGAAGGAACTGCTTGTGTCTTAACACAGACATGATTTCTCCCAAGTATGTGCTAGGCATTTGACTTGCATACTGGTGGAGCCAGCGTTTGAATCGAACTGAACACAAACCCTTCCCTGTTTGCAGTGGTGCCTGGCTGGCTCTCAGGCTGCCCACAGTCAAGCCAGGGAGGTTGAACATTGCTCTGCCCTTGTCCCCTTGCCAGGAGGCCATGATGGATCACTCCCTGCAGACCATCTCCTACATCGCCGACATCGGCTCCCTTGTGGTGCTCATGGCGCGCCGGAAACTGCCCCGGCGGGCAGAGGCCTCAGAGGAGAAGCGGCTCTACAAGATGCTCTGCCATGTCTTCCACTCAACTGATGTGAGGCCATAGATGATCCCCTCAGGAGGGGAGGGTGGCATTGGGGTCCTGGGCTCCATTCTCTTGTGGCGGTGCCATGACTGGGTGCTCTGGGTATCTGCGGAGGCGGCTGGGCTGCCCTGTGCCAGCACCACACCCAGGGGCTCCTGATGGCTGCCAGGAGGGCGAAGGTGCCCTGCCTGGACACCCTATCCACAAAGAGGGGCTCAGCTAGAGAAGGGAGATCTGTGCAGGAAGAGGCCCAGCCAGGTAGGGAAGGAACCAGGAGACCTTGGAGTTCCCAAGGCTTCGTCTGTGCTTGGCTCTGGGGGCTTGTGGGTCATGTTTGGCTATGGCACCATGGTCCTGAGCTGTCTGCCATTCTCCTCCCCTAGGCCCAGATCATTGCTCAGGCCATCGGGCAGGCCTTCGGTGTGGCCTACCAGCGCTTTCTGGAGGCCAACAGCATCAACCCAAGTGAGCTGAGCCCTCGCCAGTACAGCCGTGCCCTCGAGGACCAGGAGCACTATAACACGGAGCTGACACACTTCTCCAGGCAGGAGAACTGCAAGGATGTAAGAGCTGCTTTGGAGGGGTGGGGACAGCGTGGGACAGCAGGACAGTGCCCACTGCGTCCTCCCGGTCTCCCTGCATGGCTCTTTGAGCAGCCACAGTGCTTCCCACAGAGCTGCCTGCATGGGGTGCCTGGAGGAGGGCTGGGTACCTGAGTTCCCTTTGCCGCATCCCAGCTGGCTCTGAGTCAGGGACACCTGTGCTGGAGCTGGGACAGATGCCCAAGGCTTGGGCTCCCCATCCTGGTGACTGTGACCTGTCTGTGTCCTCCCAGGTCTGCATCCGGAAACAAAAGGGGGAGATCCTGGGTATCGCCATCGTGGAGTCGGGCTGGGGCTCCATCCTGCCCACTGTGGTCATTGCCAACCTCATGCATGGGGGCCCTGCGGAGAGGTCAGGCGAGCTGAGCATTGGGGATCGCCTCATGTCCGTCAACGGGACGAGCCTGGTGGGACTGCCCCTCACCACGTGCCAGAGCATCATCCGGGTGAGCCAGGGCTGGGTCTGCAGGTTCCTCCTGCCTCCAGCACTGGCCAGCTCGGGGTACCCAGAGCTGCTGCGCTGGCCAGGCTGGTCACCTTGGCAGGAGGGTGAGTGCTAGGCAGAGGTGGAGACTGGCCTGAACATGTCTGGGACTGTCTGTAGCGCCAGGGTCCCCTCAAATTCTCCCATGCTGGGGAGGGGTTGGGTGATGGGAGGCTACAGGGGCAGAGAGTGCAGGATACCAGAGGAGTATGGGGGGCTGTACCCATCCTGTGGGCTGTGGTGGTCCTTGGTCTCTGTCCTCGGGAGGGAAGGATGTGACAAGGCAGTGATGAAGTCAGAGACTGAACTTTCTGCACCAGGGTGCGGGCAGGGCCCTGCCTGGGGAGGTGCATAAGTGAGGAAGCAGGGCTTTGCCAGGATGTGGTCGAGCATCCTGGGGGGATCCTCTTGCACCTTTCCCCTCCTGGGGAGGAGAGAGTTGAAAACAAGGGCAGTGTGGCCTGAGGGACGGAGTGGAGCACTTTGGACTGGATTTACGAGTTTCTCTCTCTGAACTGAGCATGTCAATGCCCTGGTGCGTGCCTCAGTTTCCCCATTGAAAACTACCAATCCTCAACCCATCAGCTCACCTTCCTGTGAGCAACGTGGATATGTTTCCCTTCCCAACCTCCTGAATGGCTCCCCAGGCTTTGACGGTTGTCCTTCCTCTCTCCCAGGAGCTGAAGCACCAGACAGAGGTGACATTGAATATAGTGCACTGTCCCCCTGTCACCACGGCCGTCATCCGGCGCCCCGACTCCAAGTACCAGCTGGGCTTCTGCGTTGAGAATGGCGTGGTGAGTGCCTGGGGCAAAATGTGCAGAGCTGGACCGGGGTCAGCCAAGGGCTTTCGTGGCCAGTCTGGCAGAGGGGGACACAGCCCTGGCAAAGTCTGCGTGGAGAAGCCTGCAGCTCCTGTGCTCCCTGCCTCTGCCATGGCTGGGGTTTCACTGGGGCTGCCCTGGCACAGTGCTGTGCCATGGCAAAGTGCCCTTGTAGCTCTCCTGAGGCGCTGGCAGTTGGGTCGGTCTCCCTGGCACTCCTTAGCTGTTTGCATTGGGGGTGGTGATTTTCTCTTTGTCTTGTTTGCGTGTCCTTAGTGACATTTGTCACCGTCCCAGCCACTCCCTGCTCTGGACTCCACAGTGACTGCATTGGATATGCCCAGGAAAGGCAGAGAAGTGTGTTCTCGAGATCAGCAGGAGATGAGGGGGTGGGGGGGAAGAGGAAACACCACTGCATGGGGGACCGATAGATGCCAGCAGTGTGACTGGAGGCATGGTTACTCCAAAGACACGTGGGAGCTGTTGCCCCTGGGAGCAGCTCTTGCTCTGTATCCCAGGCTTAACGTGAGCACGAGGGTTAGACCTGTGGACAAGGGGAGCTGAGCTGTGTGTGGGCTGGGGGGGCTGAAAACCTGCAGGCTGCCCTTGGCATGCAGCTCAGGCTGTCGGTCCAGTTGCACCAATGCGAGGGGAAGTCCCTGCTGCTGTTGAGCACCCTCAGGCTGGAGGAGATGGCACCCATGCCTAGAGCTCTTGCCAGCAGCCTGCCTAGATGCAAGGGCTCATGGGGTGGCTGAGCACAGCACTGCGGTGCAGGAGTAGCTCGGCTCTTACCAGCACACTCTGCTCTCCAGATCTGCAGCCTGATGCGCGGGGGCATTGCAGAAAAAGGTGGCATCCGTGTGGGGCACCGCATCATCGAGATCAACGGGCAGAGCGTGGTGGCAACACCACATGAAAAGATCATCCAGATCCTCACGCAGGCAGTCAGCGAGGTGAGCTGGGCGCAGGCTGAGTGGCAGCTGGGGCTCCTGTGCTGTGGGTCAGGCTGCAGTTGCACCCTCTGCTCCCTATGACTGCCCTCATGGCATCTGGAGGTGGCTGGACTGGCTGTGCTCTGATGACACTGAGGAGACCCCTCTCCATGGTGGCAGGCAGGAGCGTTTGTGCCTCAGTCCATGTTGCTGATATGGGGATGTTTGGGTTGGATCAGCCTGTCTGTCCAACCTGCTGTTAGGGAGAGAGATGTCCTGGCCTCCCCAAACCCAAACATTGTAGCATGCCATGCTCAGGGTTTTGCCCCAGCACCCTCCAGCCTGGGCTTTGGTATCTCTCTTAAGTAATGTTTGTGTCTCTGCCTTAGGTCCACATCAAGACGATGCCAGCTTCCACGTACCGCTTACTGACAGGGCAGGAGCAGCCCATCTTTCTCTGAGCTGTTGACTGTGCCTGGTTGTCACTATATGTGCCTGGGGCCGGGCTGGAGTGAGCTTGGGGTTGCGAGGGCAGAACGTGCTCTGCCTCCTGCCTCAGCACTGTCATTGGAGCCCTCTGGCCCCCAGCAGGGCCTAATCCTGCACCGTTTCTGTTTCACTCAGGACCCAGTGGGAGACTCTGAGGGCATGATGCCTAGCCTGAGCAGTGTTTCGGCATGGGGTGCCGTGGTTTGGGTCCCTGACCCTTCTCCTTGACCTCTGTTCATCCATCTCTGCTTCACTGAGGCTGTACAGTGCCTGTTCCACTGCTTCACGCAGTCCCTCTCCTTGACCTGGTGCTCGCAGAAGGAGAGGGGGACCCAGCATGAAAGGTTGCCTCATCCAATCACCCCCCCAGTAGTGCTTTTCACTCACCAGTTGTGCCTTTCCCCCAAAAGGGACGGTGCTTGAGCACAACTCCTGGGGCTTGTCCTGGCACAGTTCCAGAGCAGCGCTATACCCCTTGAACCAGCATGTGGGCACATGCTGGCACCCCCCAAGAGAGAGCTGGGCGCTCTAAAATTCAGCCTGTATTGCAGCAGGGCCCTTGGCACCTGCTTCTCCTCCCCGGCTTTGCCAGTGGTCTGTTGGGGTACATGGTCCCTGTTAGACCTGTTGTACCCAGCTGGGAAACTACCTCTGCCTCCCTGGGTGTGCCTTTAATCGCTCTGCATGCACAGCCCGGTGCTTCCCCCCTCCCCCCCTCCCAGCACTGGGTCCCAGCCCTCAGGACTGTCCCTCCGCACAGGGGGACACATGGCACTGCCCAGCCCTGCTCTTGTCCTGGGTGGTGACATGCACCCCCCCCCCCCCCCACC